CATGGCACATTTCAATTAGCCCTGAAGGACAGAGAGAGAGCAGGCATGGTGGTCCATGGAAGAGGAGTCAGGAGGACTACTGTGAGTTTGAGGCCAATCCAAGTTATTCGGTGAGTTACAGAACAGTCTGGGATACTGTGTCAAAAAACCCAAACAGGAGCCCCTAAAATATCCCCTTATTTTTATGTTTGTCTATATCCATCTATGTTTACATATAATTAAAAAATACATGAATTTGGAGGTATAATTTTTTTCATTTTCACCATGTATAAAATCCCATTACTTAAGTAAATATCAATTTACCAGGACTGAATGTAGTTTGGGGACAGAATCTGAAAGCTGCACTGACAATCTGACACTGTATTTGGGGTTTGTGGTTCAAGACATGGTTTTTCTATGTAGTTCTGGCTGTCCTAGAACTCACTACTCTGTAGACCAGGCTGGCCTCGAACTCACAGAGATCCACCTGCCTCCAGAAGGCTAGCATTAAAGGTGTGCGCCATCACCACCCAACTTCAGACTCTATTTTAAAAGCAAGCCTGAAATCACAACCCAGTGACTAGAGAAAGGGCTCATCTCAGACCCCGCCCCCCACGGTGGAGACTGCCAGCATCCCTCACGCAGCCCCTTACCGTCTCCATCACCTCTACACTTCACTGCCCCAACTTGTTTGGCACACTGGCTGTGGCTCCCATTACATTATTGTCAAGCTTGTTGGGAAAGTCCATCCAAACTGGTGATTATAACACAGCACATTTATAATCTGGACCTTGCTAATCTCCCAAATCTTGGGCATTCTACTCTGCTTTTTCTCCTCGACTGTCCTCAGCCAAAAAAGATACAGAGATCAGCCAAAACACAGGATGGTTTCTGTGCTCTGGGCTACTCTGACGACTTCCTTCCTCTTCATCCTTATCTCACTTGTCCTATCTCAGCTTAGACATCAGTTCCTCCTGGACGCTTTGACAGCTCTCCCTGGACACTGCACTCCACTGCTAAGGGCATGCTTGACCCTGTAAGGCTCCCTCCTCTGCTAGGCTGCCCCTGCTTGTTACTGAGGCTCCCTCACCCGAACATAACAAACTGAAAGGCTGATCATCAGCAGTTGAAGAGCACATGGTATACAAAACCCAATAAACGCCTGCTGACCGAGTAGTCCTCTGTGGTTCCAAGACTTTGCTGTTATGTAAAGCATTATCACAGGGCCCTAGTTAAAACATCTTCAGGTTTGCGGAGTAGAGGCCCCCAAAATGATTGTGCCCAAGCCCACGAACCTGTCCATTCCTTCATGTTACAAAGAGAACTGAAGCAGCAGATGGAGGTGACCCAGTTACTCTGGGTCACCGAGGGGCCTGTGTGACCACGGGGCCCATAACATAGGCAGTGGAGTCAAAGTGGCATGGCTGGCTGGGAAGATGGAGGAAGAGAGCCACACACTGGGCGAGAAGCTGGAAAGCAGGGAACTGACTCCCCTTGGAGGCTCTAGGAAGAACTTGGTTGGGCTGATAGCCTCACTTTAGCCCAGAGAGTGAGGGCAGACTCCTGACCTAAAGAACTAGATGACACATAGTGTGTGTAGTGTGTGCTGTTTTAAGTCTCTAGAGTTGGGGAAATCTGTTAGGAGACCAGGGGAGTTCTTTCCTTCTTTCTTTTCTAATTGGGCTGGAGACAAGGCTGATGGATAAAGTGGCTGTCACACAAGCATGAGGACCAGATTTTGGATCCCCAGAATTCACATGTGACTGACTAGAGACATGGAGTTGGAGGCCAGTTAGAAAAGTTCTTCTATAGACCAAGTCAGACACATAAGATGCAACTGGGAGTCCATGGTTTTTTTTTTTGTTTTTTTTTATGGCATCACCAGTTGTTATTTTAGACTTTGGTAACATGCCAGTGTGCACTTTCTATCTAATGCCAAACACAGGTTCGGTTCTTAGTACCACAGACAAAGGAGCTGAGGCAGCTAAGGCAGACTCAGTCAGATTCACTTCTTAAATTTTAACTAAGACATGTCTCCCCAAAGAATGTTCAGTGACACAGAAAGCGCAAGAACTTATCCATACACACTTGTCTGTTGTCCCGAGGACAATGCTACACGGTATGCAGTATCTGCTTCCTTGCAGGTAAGCTGTGACAAGGGAGGAACTGAGTCCCTGATGGCAGATCAGCCAGCCATCCCACAGCTGCAAACCCACAGCTCTGACTATACCGGCCCGACTCCAGGCTGTAGATCCATTTCCAGGTTTTGTCTTCCTCCAACTCCCAGCCCTCAGTGTCTTTGACCAGCTGGACACATTGTGAAGGGCAAAAGAAGAGCGAGATAAGGTGGTGAACGCAGCAGCAGCTCCGTTTAGAAGAGTCTGCCTTCCTCCGTCTCCCTCCACACACTGCCTACCTCTGGTTCTGGCTATTTCCTGAGCTGTTTTGTCTGATGTGTAGATACCATGGTGACAAGTGCTGAGTAAACACCAAATGTTGTTACGGCAATCTTTAGACACTTAATTTGAACTTGTCTGTTAAGTCATACAAAATTTGTGAGCCATTGATTGCCAGGAGCTGAAGAACTGGAGAAATGGGGAGTGACTGCTAATGGGTTCATAGTTTCTTTTACAGGGAATCCAGTACTGATGACGGCTGCACAGTTCTGTGGCTATAATTAAACCACTGTGCCGTAGGCTTTAAAAGGCAAACTTTGTGGTCTGTTAATTCTATCTCCGTTTTAACAACTTGCTATTATAAAGAAACCAGACATTAACAAATGTTGGCAAAGAGACAGAAACTCTCCCATATTTTACTGAGGATATGAACTGGTGGAGCCACATAGGGAAAACAGTTCACCTGGTAAACACGACGCTACCCTCATGCAGAACCACCTCCCATTGATAAATGAGAGAAATAAAAACATGTTCACAGAGGCATCACAATGGACAAAAAGTATAAAAGCCAACATGTTCACCTGGACATGAATACCTGAGAAATACGCTACATCCATAAAATGGAGCATTCCTTGGCCATAGAAAGAAACAGAGTACAAATATATATATATCACAACCTGAGTGAACCAGGTGACACATGTGACACATGAAAGAAAACAGTCAAGACGGACCAGTGATAAAAACATGTCCAGAGAGGACAGATCTATAGAGGAAGAAAATAAATTAGCAAATGCCTACAAGTGGGATGGCTCTAAGGAAATGACTGCTAGCAGGTGCGGGGTTTACTGGGCTTTCTCGCTAGTTCTATGGTCAGCTGACCTGGAACTATGTAGTCAAGGTTGGCATTTCTACTTCTAACTCCCAAATGCTGGGATTAGAGGTGTGAGCCACCACTCCCAGATAGGTCTCAATTCTTAAAGATAGCGCCATCAGACTGGAGGACAGAGCCGATGTGCCTTTAAGGACAGTTCATACAATAAAGCAAGGTAGTACATGTGCATGTTTATCAACAGATTTTTTTTTTTTTTTACAAAAAATGTATTCATCGACCCAGAAAAGACAAAGGAATATGAACTATCAAGTTATAAGTTATCTTTACTGGAGCCAAATTACGGTTACCTCATTAAATAAGGAATAGTTAACAGTCTCTCTGAGTGCTTGAATGTTTGTAAGCACATGTGTGTACAGCTATATTTGTGCAGGTATGTGCATACGGAGGTTGATAGGCCAGAAGTTAAGGCTGGGTGTTTTCCTCATTTGCTCTCCATTTTCTTAACTGAGGCAGGGTCTCTCACTCAACTCGGAGCCTGTCTACGTAGCAACTTGTCTCAGGAATCCTTTCTCTACCTAATAGCACTGGGGTACATGTAGGCCTCCAGACCAGCTGGAAAGAGAGCTCAGCTGGAAAGAGCACTGGCTGGACCTGGATTCAATTTCCAGCATGGCAGCTCACAATTGTCTGTAACTACAGTTCCAGGGGATCTGACGCCCTCACACAGACATGCATGCAGGCAAAACACCAACACACACTCAAAATAAAAATAAATAATATATATATTTTTTTTTGGTTTTTTGAGACAGGGTTTCTCTGTGTAGCTTTGTACACTAGGCTGGCCTCGAACTCACAGAGATCCACTTGCCTCTGCCTTCCGTGTGCTGGGACTAAAGGCGTGCGCCACCAACGCCCGGCCTAAAAATAAATAAAACTTTAAAGGAAGAAAATAAGAAAAAAGGAATCTGAATTCTGGTTCTTGTATTTGTTCAGCAAGGACTTCATCTACTAAGCTACCCCCTCAGCCCATAGTTTTAATAGTTTACTCTAAATTTTAAAACTACAGATGAAACCCAGGATATGGAGTACTACATTTCTTATCAGCCCAAGGACATGAGAGCAGAATGGAGGAGAAGACATTCTCTTAATTCACTAGTCCTGTTGCAAACATTGCCGGCCTGGGCACACTGTATTCCTGTAAGGACTTCCAGTCAACAGCATGCCAGCACCGTCATGTCTCTGACAAATAAAACAACCACCACCAAATAAACAAAAATCCCAATCAACCAAACAAAAACAGGCACAAAAATCACCAGTGGTGGCTTTTCCCCATGAATACCTGGTGAGTCACACAAACCTCCCCAGCTGCAGTCTTACCTGTCAAACTATATTCTGAAGGAAAATGCCAATTACTTTGGAACCAAAGATACACAGATATCCAAACCAGGTGCCTAACTCAACACTGGTACAAGACAGGAAATGATTTAAGTTCATGTATCCTGTTCACCTACTGAGTGAGGCAGAAAGCCTATGTGAAGTTGTCCTAGCACACACCATCACAGGGCAGAGCCCAAGGCCCCAGCGACGGAGTAGGAAAGTTTAAGGGCAGCAGACAACCGTGTCTTTATAACGAAGTGGACTAAACAGGTCATGGTTCCTCCACAGACTGTGACACTGGAAAGAACCACACAGTGGGATCTACAGATGAAGCTGCAGAACAAGACTAAAAGAAGAAAAGCAAGGAGAAACGTTGGTTTTTATTAAAGGATAGTAAGATAATTTGAAGGACTTACCTGGAGGTACTTTCTTAGGAGTCCCTTTTTTGGCTCTTGGACTTCTTTTTCCAGGTGGTTTTTTGTCCTGTCCCGAGGAAGGCTGATCATCTTTGGGACCTTCGCATGGAGTCTGTTCTGCTGTCTCACTGGGGGCTACCTCACAGGGGGGCAGGCAGCTTTCATTATTGTTGAGACTGTCCTGTTCAAACACCGTGGCTCTTCCCATTGCACTGTCACTGCCAGTCAGACCCGCAGGCCTGTCCCCGTCAAGCTGATTTTCATTTTCATCTGAGACAGAAGGCAAGGGCGTTACTCTCCTTTCCACGCTTTCACCCGGATGACATCCATCTTGTGGTTCTATCTGAAGACGGTATGTAGGAGCTTCTCTGTCATCCATTAGCGCATCTTTTGTGGAACTGTTTACAGTTTCTTCAAAGTCCTGCCATGCCTACAAAGACGAAAGAATAAAGGCTACTTCACTCTGTGACCTCTGGGGACATACATGGTCTACAGTTTCTCACGTCCTTTCATTTCACAGATGTTAGGAAAGGAATGGACTCTGTTCCTCCCTCTTCCTCACCTGCAACCTCATCCGAACCCTACCCAGTTCTGCATGTTGCTACAGGGGCTCGCAGAGGACATCCCACTAAACCAGGGTGTAAAGGCTGCCTGCACTCTGGGCTGCCACGGTGCTCTAGGTGTTTCTGAACATACATCGGACTGGGGCGGCTGTCTTGAGGAAAGACATTGCTGGTACGCAGGTCATCTGCTAAAACCAATCACTCATGACACCCTGGACATGTGCCAGGACAGTAAGAGCCAGCCGTGCAAGTACGTGCTTGACTACACGGCAGCAACATTTACAAATGGGAACAATGGAAGACATATTGTTATTATTTTTTCTGGAAAGGCACATGGGGAAGATAATTTACTGTTTCACTACACCTTTTACTTTCTCAATACGGACACTGGCACTGCTGAGGTGAAACTTACAGCTTGAACAAGAGAACAGGCCTAGAAACACACAAGCCACACAGATCCACAAGAGATCAAAAGCCAGTTAGTTACCAGCCATTTTTTACCTTAGCATTCAAAAGTACATTTTAAGAAAAAGTATGTCAACCAGGTTATTTATGCTTGCTTAGCACTTTTTCTGGGTCTGAATCAACTGTTGCAATAGTTCTGGAAAAAAAAAAAATCTCCTCCCCTCCCCCACCTCAGGTGATAGTACTTTAAAAGAAAATCTTCAAATGGGTAAGGAGAAATTTTTATTCTTTTTTTTTTAAATTTATTTATTTATTTATTTATTTATTTATTTATTTATTTATTATGTATGTAATGTTCTGGCTGCATGTATGCTTGCAGGCCAGAAGAGGGCACCAGATCTCATTACAGATGGTTGTGAGCCACCATGCGGTTGCTGAACTCAGGACTTCTGGAGGAGTAAGCTCTTAATCTCTGAACCATCTCTCCAGCCCAGAAATTCTCGTTCTTAAAAAATACGTAAGTGGGGGCTGGAGAGAGACCACTGGGGTTAAGAGCACTTGCTACTCTTGCAGAGGAACCAGTTTAAATTCCTGACACCCACACAGCAGCTCACAAACATCCGTATTGCCAGCTCTATGAGAGCCCCTGCTCTCTCTCTCTCTCTCTCTCTCTCTCTCTCTCTCTCTCTCTCTCTCTCTCCTGGCCTCTGCAGGAACCCATGTTGCACACCCATGCAGGCGACATGGGTAAAATAATAGATAAAAGATAAAATAAGATAAAAAGATAAAAATAGCAAAAATAAAATAAAAAAAATAACAAAAGTATGCAAATAAAGTACAATTCTCTTTAAAATATATAAGCAAAGCCAGGCAGTGTGGAACACGCCTTTAATCCCAGAACTCAGGAGGCAGAGTGGGTCTCAGGTGGGTCTCTGAGTTTGAGGGCAGCCTGGTCTACAAAGAAAGTTCCAGGACAGCCAGTACTAAACAGAGAAATCCTATTTATGAAAAAGCAAAACAACAACAAAACATAAACAAGGGCTGAGGATGTAGCTCAGTTGAAAGGGTGCTTGCCTAGACTATAAGAAGCTCTGGCTTGGATCCCCAGCACCACAAAGACTGGACACAGCAGTGCATACCAGTCATCCCAGTACTTGGGAGGCAGAGGGAGTCAGAAACTTAGTGTCCTTCTCAGCTATGTAGCAAGTCAGAAGCCAGACTGGATACATGAAACCATTGTCTCAAAAAATATATACACAAATATATCATATGCATAAACATATATATATCACATATATGTAACAAAAGTCTACAGTATTAATCACTTATAAATGTATTACGTATTTGCAACATATTTTGTTACTGAGATGATTATTTCATACATAAGGGCATTCTTAGAAAATATAAAAATGTCTAATGATGGGGGATAGCCTTCTGTATATATGCTTCTCTTATTGGTTGATGATTAAAACACTGATTGGTCAGTAGCCAGGCAGGAAGTATAGGTGGGGCTACCAGATGAGGAGAATTCTGGGAAGAGGATGCAGAGTGAGCCACAAGAGAGATGCTATGTAGCCACTGAAGGAGGAACATGAAGGAGGAACCAGGGAAGCCAAAAGCACATGGAAATACATACATTAATAGATATGGGGTAACAACTAAGAGAGAGCTAGCCAGTAAGAAGCCCGAGCCATTGGTCAGTTTACAATTAATATAAGTCTCTGTGTGTTTATTTGGGTCAAAGCGGCTGTGGGACCAGGCGAGAAAGAAACTCCATCTACAGTCAAAGTCTGAATTTATTTCTATTTTTTTTTGTTTTTGTTTTTGTTGTCCTTTGAGGTTTGTTTTGAGACAGGGTCTCTCTACATAGCCCTGTCTGTCCTAAAACTCACTTTGTAGACCAGGCTGACCTAGAACTCAGAGATAGCCTGCTTCTGCCTCCCGAGTGCTAGGATTTAAGGCACGCACCTCTATTCCTGACTTCTATTTCTCCTTTAATGGTCTTGGCTGCTTGACAGCATATTTACAGTATATACAGGATTTTATCTTCTAACCATAAGAGACCCCGAGGTCACACACTAAGGGACCTAAGACAGAAGAAACAGCAGCTGAGGAAGCCCACACACTGATGAGTTGGCTTCACAGCCCCTTACTGTGTGTGGCAGCCACTTCCCATGTCTGACATCTGGTCTTCAAAGCAAGGCTACACTACAGGTATTCACATTGTGTTTGAAATGAAGAAACAAAATACTAAGGTCCTAATCCTGGAACAGAAGCAGAGCTGAACCTGAAACTCTTGTCTTCCTGGCTTGGGTCCTAAACAGTTCAATACAATGGCTGAGGACAGAAGCACCTAGGTTCAAATTGTGTCCTTGACATTTTATAAGCTATGTGGGAAACATGAGAGTTACCTAGCAACCACACACTCCTCATTTTCCTCATCTGTGTGACTGTAGAACTGTAGAGAACCTGTCTACTGGTTGCGTTTTCTTCTGTTTTTGGTGAGGTTAGGGATTAAAGCCACGGCTTTCATAGGTGAATGTACCATGACTACGCTACATGTTCCCAGCCATCTTTCACTATACACGCTTAGTGTCTCTGTGTGTGCATGTGCATGCATACCTGCCTGCCTATTTTTCTGTATGTGCTGTTATGAAGGTCGGAGAATAACTTGTAGGAGTTGGCTCCCTCCTTCCACCATGTGGGTCCTGGGTATTGAACTCGGATCATCAGACTTGGCAGCAAGTGCCTCTACCCACTCATTACTCTGCTCCTAACTTTCTTGAATTTTCATCTGAGACATGACATTGTCAAGTTGCCCAGGCAGACTTCAGATCTGCTATGTAGCCTTGGCTGGCCTTGAACTCATGATTCTAATGCTCAACTTTCTGGTATTCTACTTACTATGACTGGCAGAAGGTCACTTGTGACGCTTAGGTAACAGGACAGGTAAGGCTCTTCAGAGAGTCCTTCATGCACACAGCAAACACTTAATAAGTGTTACTTCCCAGGCAGACTCAGGGTGCATTACACACTGGTGGCTGACTCAAGGGACACTCAGCCTTACTGTATTTTCAGAAACAGCTTTTCCAAACATTCTAGAAATGACCAGGCTCTGGATGATAAACAATGCTGAGGTATCAGTTTACAAAGGAGGGCTCTCATTCAGTCCCCGTAGTACTTACATGTCTCTTTTGAGTGTCCTGTTTCAGATGACTAAGATACTCAGAAATTAGTGGTTGGAACTACTTGGGAAGGGCCGGAGAGATAGCTCAGTGAGTAAAATGATTACCTTTCAAACACTAGGACATGATTTGATCCCCAGAACTGGCATTTTAAAAGCCAGGAATACTGCTGGGTGTTGTGGCATATACCTTTAATCCTAGCCCTGGGAGGCAAAGGCTGGCGGATCTCTGAGTGTAAGGCCAGCCAGGGCTACATAGTGAGACCTTGTTTCAAAACAATAACCAAAAATAAATAAAAAGCCACAAAAGCATGCATTTGGAATTCCCACTGCCTCACAGAAGGCAGAAGCAGGAAGATCACTTGGGCTCACTGGCCAGCTAACCTAGCCAGTTCAGTAAGCACATGTATGTCTATAAGTAAAGGTACACAGCTCCTAAGGAACACTCTGAGGTCTGGCCTCCACATGTACACACGAGCACACAAACACACACACACAAGATTTCTGGGAGAGCAGGGCATAATGTACACACTGGTAATCCCCATACAAGAAAAGACAGAGGTAGGAGGATCAGCCCTTGAGGGACAGCCAGCTACATGAGACCCTGTTTCAAAAGCAAACAACTCCTTGTTAAGTTCGCAGTTACACATATTTGAAGGTTTGCCACACACCTGGCTGCAAGTTCAAAGTATTCACACAAGAGACTCAATTCTCATAGTCAGCAGCAGATAGTTACTTCAAGTCCTGTTATACAGTTAAAGAAGCAGAGACTCTTACCCACAGTGTTCTGTGGACAAAGGAGCTACAAAAATATTTCACTCCAGTGTCCCTGTCCACCACCCACCTAAGGCAGAGACATCCCTCCAATGAGCAAGTTCAAGTTTCTAGAGGCGCTTTTCTCTTCCCTGGAAAATAGTACATGACCCAATAAATGGTTCCCAGGAGTCCTCTTCCTTCTATTGAGAGCCTTTCTGGGTGGTCTTTGGGTAGGTTCACACCATTTAAGTGAAATAGCCACTCCCAGGAACATCAGTTTCCTCTCCTTGGGCCTCATGACAACTTACCTCCTACTGTTTCGTGGCCACACAATTAGTTTAACTTTCAAAAGGAACGCCTTCAAACTGCTTTATAACACTGGGTCTCTTGATCTGCTAAGATTTTATTTTATTTCTTTAATTTTAATTTTGTGAGACACCTAACAATGCTTCAAGGCCTGATTCAAAAGTCACTTACCCCCGTTTGCCTGACTGATGTCTCTGTCCTCAAAGACTCCCACAT